ATCCTTTTAATAAACATGTGTTTGATTAAATATCTTAATCTTTCATTAAATATTAATAAAAAAATAAATATATAAAATTGTGGTGGACACTTTATCATGCATCTTATTTATTAATTCAAAATCGACATACATCAAAGCCAATTCACATACAGAAAAAATACATTTTTTTATTACAAATTTTTAAACGTGATATTATTTCTCTTTTATCTAAATATTAATTAATGTTAACATTCGCTGCCATTATATTCAAAGTAAAGATAAACACAATATGAAATTAAATAATACATAATTTCCGTAGAAATTTAAACTATGCATTCCCTGTTGTTCATTTATGCATCGAATATATATATGAATGATATGTATGAAAATAATCTTTTATTAATTTAATGTGTTAAGAAGTAAAAAAGGAAATTCTATAGGATAAACAATGTCATGATTGACAGTATTATTTATCCTAAAATAATAATATGTAGTATAATACGCTTAATAAGCACAATTATTTTCAAAAAGAAACGCACCAAATTACTTACAATTCTGAAGAACAAAAATAATAATTAATATACGAATATAAAAGAGTGCTAATAAAACAAGAATAATAATAAAAAACACGTAGATTTATAGGATATCTGGAAAATCGTCCGCAATGCTTCGGGAAATGATTCGCGACTCAAAAGAAGCGACAAGATCTATATAAACATAGGTCCGGAAATATGTCGTTTCAAAATTATAACTACATTTATGTTAAAAAAAATTGTAATTGATTTCTTATAATTATAATAATAACTTATTTCACTATTTTTTAACTACATTTTAGAATACTTTGGAGGCATAGTCTGCTTGATATCCCCCTAGTAAAATAAAAAAATTTTTAAATAAAAATAATTAAAAAAGAGGGATGCCTAGCGAAGTATGTCTCCGCGTGGTGCATTTTTGGTAATGTCAAAATAATCTGAAATGTAGGTATATATGTTAAAACCCTATAAAATAAATTATGATTATAAATTATGATTATAAAAAATAAATTACAATTTTCTTAAAATATAAGCAGTTATAACTCGAAAGCGATTTACTTCCAATTCGTTCTTTATATAGATTTTCTTCCTTCTTAACTCCCGAATTACTTCTTGTACTATTGCGGACGATTTCCGGACACCTGTATAAAATAGAGAATAACTTTAAATGTACATTATAATGTATGCTTATGTAAACTGCATTATTGGATTATTCGAAATGAACCATACTTTTCTAATTGTGACAGTTTTGTTTTCGATGAATACGATTGATTACTGCAGACATAATTATTCTTCGATAAACGTTGTTTTTTAGTTAATGATTCTATTTATCTTTTATTTAACACATTATATTTATACTTTATTATTAATATTGTTAAATTAACAATATATTTGACGCGTTCATATTTACATTCTAAATTTTTTTTAATTACCGTGCATAGATCGCATGTCAATTTTACGAGAAAAACGCATAGCATCCAATTTACACTCTTTGCAATACATACATTATTTAGTCTTTCAAATATAATAATGTGTAATAATATTATATAAATCATATTTGCAATTTAAATAACTATTTAACAATTCGAAATAATTGTTAAGAAAATTTTTGATGAAATACGATTTATGTAAAATAATATAGATTAGTATATTTACAAGACAATTATTATTTAATTTGTATGATCCTATTATGATAAACATTCATCAGAATTGCAATTGTTCTACTCTTTGATTTTCCAGCCAAATATGGATGCTACTTGTCTGCGAAATGCTTTCATAGTCAAATGAGAATCCGCCACATTTGTGACATTTATTCAACTACATCTGAATCTAAAAAAATGTTAAATACATAAAATGAGTATCTCAGTACAATTGGTTTTGTCAAAAGTTTATTCACAACAATAATTTGAGAAATCGTATTTTAAAAACTGAAATCATAGCTTAAATTGGGAAATTGTTCATCTCCCGGCACTACGACAATGTTTCAATGCATACAGTGCCAGATTCAACAATTTTAATAGAGCAACACTTCTCCTAGTCACATAATACGGGTTAAATTATTTTAAAAATTCCTCTATCATCATCTGTATCTTTTTCTGTATGATTGAATTTGAAAATCAAAAAAATTTGATAATTTCAATGAACAAGTTTTTTATTTTTACATCTCTGGCTTACGAAAAAAAGTTACATATCCGATACTTTTGATAAAATGAAATATTAATAAAATTAATATATAATATTAAAAATATTCTTCCTAAACTCATTTGAAAAGGTTATTTTAAAAAATATTTCATTATAATGATTAGTAAATTTGAACTATTAAAACAGATAGCATAATATCCTTTGTACAAAGATGCTTCAGCGGCGGTTTTGAATTTTTTTCGGATTCAATACGATCTATAACATCTGTCATTTTGTTTTTACAAATATTTATCATTTATTTCTTTAAAATCCGAAACGCCACTACGGTCTGAGTATTGAGATGTTGAACTAATATATATAATTTCAAACATTGAATTAATTTCAGAAATGATAATTACGTGCCGATATGGTTGACGGCATTAAAGCAATTGATCTGAAATATTAATAATCCCTCGAAAATTTCCCAAATTCATCTTAAAAAACTGTAATAAGCTTATTTCAAAAAATATTGCCTCGGCCGGAAGTCGAACCCGGATCTCTTGCCTTTCATGCGAGCGTTTTCTGCCTATTCGACGAGTGAAAATTAATATAATACAACTTATCTTACATACAAATGGACAAATGATATTCTAAATTCAGCGCGCGTGTATAAACAATAAGATAGGAAATAAGACCGTTTATGTTAAATAACATTACTTTAAAATTCGAAGCGCCACTACGGTCTGAGTATTATCCAAAAAATAAAAATCTTATTGTTTATACATGCGCGCTGAAAAAATGCGTTACTCTCGATACATATTGATCGTGATCGGATCATTTTCAAACAATCGGAATATCCAAACAAGTTAATTTTATCTTATAATACCCGCGAATTTTGTCTTATAATACCCGCATAGAATTGAAATTAGAAAGTTATGTTTCTTTATAAATACTTTCAGTTCGTTTTTAACCAAACATAATTACTAGTATGTAAGTATATTCCAAAGTCTTTATAATTACTAACAATTACAGAGATTTTGAATACACTTCAAACTTTTCCAATCGTATATCGCTAATTTAAGGTTTAATTTAGCAAAAAACGAGGTAGGGACTTTTCAAACTCCTTGCGCCTTGTAATTCGCTGGTAACCCAGATACCAAAAAGACTTCAAAAAAAATTCAATGATATGTCATCAATTCTGAATTTATTTTCAGACGTAAAAAGAATTCTTTTTCTGAAAAGTTCTAAAAAGAATTCATGTTGTATCTGAAAATATGTTCAGAATTAATGACATATCACTGAAATTCATTTCGAATTCTTTTGAACTCTCTGTGCTTTTTGATAGTTTAGTATCTGATACAAAGAAGAACAATCATCATAGTGGAGAATGAACTTAATGTATTCTGATTCAACATCAAATTCACAAGATTCATTCGCAAAGAAAAGTTAAGCAATCCATCAAATACAAGCTATCTACAGGAGAATATGAATCTTTCAGACCGAGATAGTCATTTTTATTGCATCTTTATTATAATTAAAATTCACAAGAAAATATGTTCTGCTTCGCATTCTTCGCCCCACATTCTTAGTCCCAAAAATCTTCTCTTATTAAAAATAAATGGATAGGATGATTTCCTTACGGAATAGTGATTACGAAGAAATATATTTCATAACAACATAATACATGCGTCATAGTAATTTTTTATATAACAAAAGATTCTCGGGCATCAACTCTTCGAGATAAACCAAACTTCATAATAACGGGATTTTAAAAAGTTTTATACCAAGAAATTTATTATATTAGGTGTTGGAATTAATTCGTAGCGTTTTACAAGTGATGGGAAGTACTTTCATTAATGTATTTTTTAATGCTCATGTGAAATAAATAACATTCTTTCATTAAAAAACGAATTAATTCCAACACCTAATATAAAATTTGACAATTCTTATTCTTCTGAATTTTCCAAAAATTTTGATTAATTAAAAATCGGTGTTGCGCGTTCAGCATGCATACTTCAGTTATTTTTATTAACTGCTATGAGTATTATAAATATATTTCAAAATCTTTATATTAATAAATTGTTTCAAGGAGATAATACTTTGCAATATTAGAGAATATATATATAGTATATATGCGTCGTCAATGTAATCATAAAAATAATAGTTCGTGAATCGTCTAATGTCACGCGTTATTATTCAGTCTTGTTTTCATATTAATTACAATATTATGTGATTTTGTCATAATCGTTGAGCAAGTAACGAAGGCGAAACAGTTTGGAATCTTTGAAAAAACCGCTCGTTTCAAGGAAACGGTACAATAAAACAAAAATTTAATTTCTATTTAAAGCAATTCTGATTCTCAATTTGAAAATATTGTTATTTTCTACATGGTACAATATTACCTCTCTCTTAAATCATAATTGTTATTGTTAAATGACAACAATATATATTCTTCTTGGTTTAATTAAAATTTCTTCATGTAAGCAAGTTGGTTTAACGCTATATAATCTTATTTCAAGATTTATATTTTTTAAAAATAAAGACATTACCAATATAAGAATATTTTTTCTTCCTCTGCGTATTTCAATAATTTAAAATTTTAGAATTTTATTAAATATTAAAATTATATTAAATATCAAATGAGATGTAAAGCTACAAAATTTGTCAGTCAAACGGTATATTTAATACGCACAAACAAATTAAAGATATCGGTATTTACATTTTCAGACAAGAAAACGTGTATCTTCTTTCGACCTCTTAGATCAATTTTGAAATATTAAACAGTTCTCCGAGTAATAAGCAGTTAGTCGTAAACAATCCATGATAGAGAACGGTGTTAACGAACATGGCTCAACAGCGACCAGAGGATACCGTGCAATTTTACAAAGAATATGGATTAAATGCGAAGGGTAATCAGTTATTCAGTTATGTGAACGCTGCAGACAAAAATCGGAGCCTGATTTTATCATCGATCGTGTTAGAATGATATGTCATATATACAATAAGCATGGAGAATCAGAAATAATGAATGACCCAAAATATCAGTCCGTAGCAACAAATTTTAATTTTCAACGTCATAAGAAAAGTAAAAGTGACGTTGGGACATGTCGTGTTTCAAATTGTAACGTGAAAATTAAAAATAAATTTGGTAAAGCATTACCATTTGAAAACCATTCGATAACGCATCACACAGACGACAAAAAAATTGCTTTTTTTGCAAAAGCAGTAGAAATAGATTCTGGACGAAAAATACTGAATAATTACAAAATAGAGGACACCGAATATGCGAAATGCTCATTTTGTCGGACGCAGATACCCTTGGAAGGTTTGGATTCGCACACTGCTGAAGTACTTGCGATCTTAAACAGACACTCGATCCCACATATTGAGTATGTAAAATATATTGTTCATATTTATCATTCTCAAAAGTATGAATAGTTGATTTTATACATTTTGTTTATTTTGTTTTTACAATTTCGTTATTAATTCGAAAAACAGAAAAGATTTTGCAAATAGAATTGAAATGGAGCATTTCTTCATGAAATTAGTGTTATATAAATTAATGTTATATAAATTCCCCTGATATGTACATATCTTATAAGAAAATAAGTACAGTTTCAACAAATTCAGTACAGTTTCTGTAACCATTATTTTGTCATACGTACGAATATACGCTAAATATATTTTACTATGTAATATTTAAGATGTTTTGTAAATTAAGTTCTTGGTAATGACTGTTATGGTAATCATATAATTTACATATATTTATTAATACGTAATAATTCCGTGCCATACTCGTATTGCAGTCATTGGTAATCTATCATCAAATCATTGTAGACAATTAATTTAAAATTGACACGGAACGTAACTAATATAAAACAAAAATTAATCAACTGTATTTAATAATAATCTTATGGCTTCCACAGTGAATATTTGGACATACTAGAAGAAGTACAAGATTTACTTTCCGTAGACGAAGCATTCATACAAAGTGAGCTAGAAAAAGAAAAAAAAATGCAATTAGATATAAATGAAGCAAAGCAAAATATTGATAAGGAAGTTCCAATGCAAGAGACTCTAAGAAATATAGAAACGGAACCTGGTTCTCCCATTTCGGAAAACTACAACAATACGAAATGAAATATAAAAACAAAATACTATATTGTGATTTAAAACCTTGTCGTCATAATAATAAATATAATGCTAATAAGTTATATTGCATACAAAACCATTGCGAAATTCATCACGGGCCCAAAAATATGATTTACAATGAAATAAAGCATTATTACAAAAGTATAAATACTCTACTTCAAAATTACAAAATAACGGATGGAACCTTAGCAACTTGCTCTCAGTGTGAATATTCAGAAAATTTGGAAAAAGACAATGAATTGTATTTGGACATTTTGATAATTATGAGAGACCATTATAACCAAATCCATCGATATAAAACGAATATTTTTTAGATATATCAAAACAAGCAAAATTAATTGCGTTTTACTTGATTTATTTCTATAACTTTATATTAATATGAAGAGACGATGATTGATCTTTAGTTTTGTTCTATCAAAATACATCTTATTAGATACATTTTACAAATAGTATAATAATATAATCACAGAGCAATTAAATACAAATAAGCGCCAGTTATGGTCAAAGTTAGTATACGTATACGTACGTTAAATGAAATCATCTCAAAAAGAACTGCCCGACTAATTACTTTCGGTCTTTCAACACATAATCAATGTGAAATATTATAATAATCCCAAATTTAGAAACTTTAATTTCATACTAGCATCTTAAAACCTGTAAAGGACTTCTTGAAAATAATATAACTTTTATTAATTTTAAGATTATTTTATATAAAATACATACATATATATGCGAAGCTATAAATAATCGTTTTGTAGGCAAACGGGACCCTTCTTTTACATGTAGTAATTTAACGTTTAATTTTGATCATAATTGGTGTTACTTTGTGCTTCATCGATTTACTCAAATAAACGGTCTCATTTCTTACTTTAATATTTATCTCGAAATAATTTTTTAATAACAGTACGAAAAAACCTACGCGATGTATGATAAAGTCAGATAAAAATCTACAACGGGAGGTGGAAGAATTAAAGAAGAAAAGGCGAGAAGATGCAACGCAGATATCACATCCAGCGGAGAGATATGAGATTTAAGAAGTACACATTGTTGAGTAATTATTCACTTTTCTTATATTAAATAACATCAAATGAACGAGGTATGAAAATTAAATATTAACTTCCAATAAAAGTATAATTCATATTATGTTACAAAAAATGTAATAAATTTTAAACTATGTTTCACGTTATTAACAAACTGATAAATTACAAAATATTTAAGCTTTTTTCAATTATACAAATATTAAAAATTTCTTACATAATATGGCCAGTATAATATCCTGTATGTGGAATATAAGCAAAAAGTATGATAAATATTAACATTTTCTGCTTATATATTGCTTATATACGGAATTTTTGATGGTAGATTCAATAATGAATGTATGCTAGTTAGAACGAAGATTGCAAAAAAATTGGGAAAGAATTAACTTCTTCGTTTAATTTAAATTGCTTCAACCGTAATTTACATTTATGATCAGACACTCTAACAATATATCTGTCAACATATTATATTATGTGATTTAGTTTCTATATATATAGCATTATAATTCAATAATCAATTTTAAAGACATTAATTTTATACAAATGTAAAACATAAATAAATTACAAATGTAAATGTCAACGAATTGATAATATCAATACTGTATCCAAAAAATGCAAATTTTAATTTGATGACGTATACTTTGAATTTACATTATTATGTCTTCTTGATGCTTCCATGGGTGCTTTCTATTTAACTAATCTGTGCTTCGC